GGGGGGACGCAGTGAACTAATGTGTTCGACACACAAACCACTTCGAATAGCTTGAATGCATGTGAGTTAACGGTTTACAGACATGTTCTTCTCCGATTACCGGATTAAAGGGTTATTTAGACACCGAACCAAGACTGTTTAATCTATCATTGCAGCTCTTCAGACCACATTTTCGCATCATTCATTACGTACCGCACGGTCTTTACCAGCTCAGGATGTTGACTGTGAACAAGGCGCAGTGAGCTAGACAACTGCTTGCGATATACAACAGGTGTACAGCGAAGCCCATTCATTCTATTTCGTTGTGATAATGAATTTACCGCTGAAACACTTAGAAACACACTACGGCATCGTTAACCCATTTGTACCGTCGCACTTGTGCCAACTGCGCAAATCTTCAGAGCGAAAACCCCTAGTCAGTGGATGTTTCATATGCGAAAACTTTAACCTCCAGAAAATCAATGCACTTCTGTGAAATAGCATTTCAGTTTCAGTCTAGCCTACACTGTTCAAGCAATGAGGTTGCTTGCGGTCAGTTCCTTGACTAGGCTACCATCATTTGTTCAACAACTGTCTAGGCCAGCGAATGAGGTGCTCGGTCAACACACGACCACAGAGCCTCAATGAAGCAGTAGTCGGCATCCAGATTGCAGGTGATAAGTGCATACCGAAAAGTGTAACATCACCTTTGAGCGACCAACTCCTGAGAGAGGATAAGCCGGCTTCTTGGATTTTTTCAATGAGCCAATGTAACGCTTGGCAACCGCGCCAGTAATATTTTATCGTGAATGCTTGTACCTCACTGGACCTTTTCGGTTCATGACGTCTTATTCGCTTTGCCTTGCAGGTTTAACTTCAACCCTGACCCACGGAAGACCTGTCTGCCAGTGTTTCCTCGTTAACCCGTATCCTGCATTCCTAACTAGGTTCGTCGCCCGCAAAGCCTCGTATCGTCTCCCGCTGTGAGAATACGAGTCAAGGGACATCCTGTCACGCATATCCGTTCATTCCGATGCGCAGCGAGAGCCCGGAGTACGTTTGTATTACACCAACGCGTGACGATCGGCGGCAAGGTTGGCGCAGTATGAAACCCAATTCTGGTTCCAGTTACGAATTCCATATCCGCCTTCACCTCACTGATTCAAATCTTCAGTTCGTCACCGAGGCGGCAATGCCATTCATACATAGCAGGGTGCCGAGGCTACAGTCTGCCGCGGGAGTTGAGTGTCTTTGGAGCACGTGGTCAACCTACTGAAAGAGCCGGTATTGTATAATTTTGGAAAGCTTATTGATGTTACAGCAACGCTGTGGAACCGCATCACTGGAAATCCAATCTCATTCAAGATGCGGCGTAGGCACCAGTGAGCAATGACCTCGAGCGTCGTTGTATATCGTACTCTTAGCACTTACGTCTCAACTATATGGGAAGATGAAGACCTGTTAAATCCGCAGTTTAGAGTTTGAGCTTATTCTGCATCGGTTGCACAACGGTCTGAGGGGTTGCAGGAAGGATCTTCTAGCTCCATCTACACGGAGTTGGATTTCATCCTTAGTCTGATCGTTTGGTTTGATTATAGAGCCAAAATACTTGAAAACGTCGGTTGATTCGACGTTAATCGAGAGGGGTTGTGTCATGGCAGGGGTTTCGATCGAAAATATCTTGGTTTTCTACATGTTGATCTCTAGTCCGATAGCCTGGGAAAGTTGGTTAATGCGACTGACAAGTTAGAGGTTGTCCGCGGTGTCCCCAAATACGACATCATCGCAAACTCGGTCTGCGATTTATGCGCCGGGGCCAAGTTGCACTCCGGGGTAGTCGATGAGTGCTTGTAACATTATCCAATCTACGGTGTAATTGAATAACACCGGCGACTCCAGAATGTAGCATAAATTCACTTGATTCTTCTTCAGAGATATGGAGGCCCGAAACCCTGGGTAGTACAACTTCAAAAGCTTGAGCTTATCGGGCATCCCGTCGAACGGCAATATGCACCACAAGGATTCTTTATCGATTTAGTCAGTCAAAGGCAAGGTTGAAGTCGACGACAAACACTGAGGGAGATTTTTGGAACTTTTAGCGGTGCTCCAGAATTCTACGAAAATTAAAGTGTTTAACGCAGCTTATTCCTTAGCGAAACACCTTGGTTCGGGAAGGTGTGGGTACCTCTGACGACTGCGAAGCGATTAAGCGATATCACTGTAAACAATTTGGTCGCAATATCAGTCAGGCTGATACCCCCGTAATTTTCACATTTAGACCTGTCACCTTTGAGACTAAAATTGAAGCTGCCCAATCTTTTGGAAAAACGTCTCTTTCCCAAATGGAATGGAAAAGAGTGTAGCGGATCAGTCAGAGTTGGTAGGCAATCTCTCAATAGCGCTGGAGGTATCTCGTCTTCTCCAGGAACCTTCCTGATTTTCTAAGAAATGACTGAATTTGAGATTTCTGTCCTACTAGATGGGTCACAAGTGATGTCGCATGTTCGCGAAGTATTATTATTTTGTTTCACACTTGTCTGAATCCAGACTGTGTGCCAAACAAATCATGGTACAATAACCTTTATAAAAAAAGAAAAACGTTCCACGATTTGCAAAGTGCTTGACATATGTGGACAGCAAGGTTGGTTTTGTGGGCGGTTGAGTAGTCCGTCGAAGTTTTCGACCTACTTTTGCATTTGATGCTCATTTCCTTGAATAAGTTGGCCCGCGGTGTCCCAAAACAGTGGCTCCGATGTGTCTCTTTTCTGCTGCGACACGGATTGGACAAAAAAGTCCATCCAAGTCGAATGCTACGGTTTCATTCTCCACCCTGTCTGAAATCGCCTTTCAGTACTGTTTACGGTTCCTCTAAGCGGAGCGTGTAGCTTGACAACATAGACTGCGGAATTCGGGAGAATTGATTGGAAATGAGATACTGATATCAGCAGCGTTGCTCAGCTATTGTTCGAGAGTGTACTTCTAACCCCTGCACAACCAAGTGCAGGGTAACGGTGTAGAAGAGTTGGAAGTCGGTGACCGTCAAAACGGTTCATACGTCTTTCGGGTGGCTCGGCGCTAGTTCAGAAGCCTCAACATGTCCGTGAGGTCGGAGGGTCGGTAGCTAGTGCTGAATTCATACACTCCTCCCAAACCTGTCATTTGTGCTCAGAGAAAGCTCCACACATTGAAACAGAAAACCAATATCGACAACGTAATTCAGATCGCCTAGGTTCTGCTGGGTTATTTATTAACCGCCAACGTTTTGAAGACTACTTGAGCATTCCACATATTTCGTTTAGGATGAAATTGAACAGAGATGGAAAAATAGAGAACCCTGATTTAATACCAATGCCAGTTGTACCAATCGATGTACAGTTTGTTCTGTCTTTTTTGTCAGATGAGCTGGATTGAATAACTCTCCATAATTTTGCCTCTACTGAATTCTTTTTTATTACACACCATTGTGTGATGAACAGCAGATGGTCGGACCCCATAGTCACGAAAACTTCCAGTTCAGTGATTTCAACCACCAACCTAAGCCCTGGAACTAGGAGTGGCGAACCACATAAGGCCCCGCTAGATTAGGTGGTATTGAACCGGGCGACAGAAAAGCTGTCCACCACCACAGTATACATGACGAACCAGACTTTTAAGTCTGGTCACCCATGCGTACTGGACGATTTGTTCCGAAGATACTGAGATAAACAATACTCACCGGCTAGGATAATTTCAACCTTCGCCTTGGTAGATAAAGATTCATCCTCCAGAAATTGTGGATCCATGTACTTCTGCAATTCAGTTGCTAAAAAACGCGACCAAATGTGTTAGAATTTTTCGAGGAATGGGGTAATCGCACCAACTTACTTCTGGACAGCATCCTGGCGATCATAGTTCGTTTTTCCGCAGACGCAATGGCCGCATGAGCAGTGACCAAATTATCAAAAATGGGCTGGTATAGATCAAAATAATGGATGAATAACGCCGAGCAGTAAGAATACCTTTTTAATCTCAGACGGTTGAATATGCTTTCTACGTGTTCCCACAATGAGATCTTCCAGAGACTGTAAACGCAATTCGAGCAAATCTAACTCCATGGTTCCTAAAGAAAAATGGTTCAGCTTTTTTGTTGTATTAATTCGACCGTAAGATGTAACAGGAAAACTCAGGCAGAAGTACGCGAAAGTAATCAGAAGTAATTTATTGCTACAGTTATGTATACACAATAGGGATTACGTTCATGTAGACTACTAGAATCAAGGAGATTTTGGTACGGGTTGTGGTAGCCGTTTAGGTCGCATTTGCATATCTATATCGTAAAATGAATATTGTGTATGCATGTAGTATTCCGGAGCGTTGTATGTCGAAGGTGGGACATACGGTTTGGATGCAGAGGAGGTTGGCGTCGACGCAGTTGGTGCCTTGGCTAAAATTAATCCACAACATGAGGAAAACGCAGTGTGACTTACTTTGTTTTGGTTTATTCGTCGCATTTGTGCCCGTGCTGGCGCTGCGACGGCATAGAAACCGCGTTAGTACACGTCCAGTGATCACTCTCATCGGACTGAAACAAACGGAAACGAATGGTGCTTCTGTGTTTTATCTTTAAGCGTTAGCTGTATCCACAGTATACACTAGGACAAGACTGAGGCCAGAGACTATATTTATATCGTTTGGGAGTTTACAAACTCTCGGGAGAAGAGAAAAGGGAACACGGAGAGAGAAGAACGAACGGAGAGCATAACATTATCAAATGTACAACACTGAGGGGAACAAGTCAATGCATGCTTCTCGTAGGAAGCGAGTCAAGTAGCTCTGTCTTACCTAGATCACGAAGGCGCAAGCGGAAGAAGTGACGGAGCAGTGTGTGGCAAGGAAACAGCTGAAAAATTGGTTTGAAATGATGGGTTGTACATGTGAAACGTTTGCGTGTTTTTATGATCGGTCGAGTGAGCGGGTGAATGGATGAACTGTGCGTGAAGAATGACGCTTTGAAAAAATAGACTTTGAATCACTGTGTGACCTCATCGGGCATATTGATAAACGTAACTGCGAGCCGTTTGACAGAATGCTTCTTGATCTCTTTGGAACTGCTCAGCCGCGGCTGTGTTCAAGGCATCGTTAAAGTCACACAAATCGAAAAACAATGACTCGATTCCCCAAACAACATCAAGCAAGCGCCGAGTTGGTGCCCAACCAGAATAATCCAGAGAACTTTGTCGGAGCAAACTGAGACAAACACGGCCTTCCTCGTCAATATTTGGATGCCAAATGCGCGTGCTGCAACGTACCAAAGGCGGCGTGTGATTATATCCTTCGGGAACGGTGATTTCGAAATGAAAAGTGCCACCCGCCCAAATGCAGTCTTTCGGTTTCACAATAAGCGTAAACTCGTGCAACTTATTGGGGTCAGGGTGGTGTATCGTACACTGGGGTGAGAGATTACCCCGCAATTCCTGAAGCTCTTGGAGAAGCAAGCGGTCCCGAATGGTGGCACTGCGTACCGAAGCAGACTGTACAGCATCCGGTTCGTTCGATAACACCCCACTTTTTCTCTGCTTGATTTTGTCAGCAAGACTGATCATCTGTAAAAAAAAAGAATTTAATATCAACGCATTAAATTAAATAAAAATGCTAGGTAACAGTAGAGGGTTTGTCTAAGTATTTCTTCTCAAATGGTGGGTTATAATACGGGGGGGGGGGG